GAAAGAGAGATAGAAACATCAATGATGAGAGAGAATCATTGATTGGCTGCCTCCTGCATGTCCCCTACTGGGGATTAAACCTGCAACCCAGGCATGTGCCCTTGACCAGAATCGAACCCAAGTACCTTCAGTCTGCAGGCTGACACTCTATCCACTGAGCCAAACCAGCTAAGGTTGCTTCCAGAAAAGAATGACAGCCCCAGTGGAAATGCATTGGGTCACAAGAGGGCTTCGGGCTTTTCTCAGAACTTGGTGTGTTTTTCTGTCTTTTCTTTGCTTCCCCACCAATGTATTTCTGTGTCTCATCCTTCTGACACTTGCTCCTCCTTTACCTCCCATGTCCTTCCTCTATTGGCTCAAGGTATAGGTGTGTCTGGTGTTGTGTAAGTTAAAATTTATCACCTCCACTTTTCAAAAATTTTTAAAGTGACTGAAACTTCTTCCAGTTTTCTCTTTGTGAAAACTCCTCTATTACACTATACTGTATTAGTTATGTGGCATCATTTATGCATTTGTCTTCCTTAATGGATTAACATAATGAATGTTTAACTTAAAAAATTTACAACCCAAACAGGAAGAAGTCTGGGAACTATTTGGAGGATAAAACTACAGGTGGTTACGCTGGATAAGATAAGAATACAAATATCTGAAAGGGTGGGGATTGCTCTGAGTTGCTCTAGAACAGTGGTCAGCAAACTGGGGCTCTGCAAACTGTGGCTCGCGAGCCACATGCGGCTATTTGGCCCCTTGAATGTGGCTCTTCTACAAAATACCAACTTCTGTGCATGGGCCACGAAGTTTCAATTGCACTGTACGTGTGCGCCCGCACATGGTATTTTGTGGAAGACCCACACGTATTTTGTGGAAGAGCCACACTCAAGGGGCCAAAGAGCCGCATGTGACTTGCGAGTGCAGTTTGGCGACCACGGCTCTAGAATGAGGAATAGGAACAATTTATTGGATGATTTTGATTTGGACTAAGAAAGAATGACCTTTCAAACTACACCCTGTCCCAGCAAAGGGCTGCCTCAGGGCATCATGAGATTATTCTTTGCTTCCTGCCCTCCCTCCACTCTGTTCAGCAGAGATGCCAGCACTTACTGAGAGGTGGCCCAGGTTACCACTGACATTGCTCCTCTATTCCTCTATGGATTGAATGAAAATGAGTAAATACGAATACTTACTGCTGCCTTCTTACATGTTTTGTCTCAAGCTCAGAGTACTAATTTATGTCTTTTTTGTTTAAATTAGGAAACAATGGCATCGTCTTTCCCCCTAAGATACTCCTTTCCTTTATCCAACTAGAATCCCTTATGAAGAATCTAGTGTGTTTAGTAAAGTCAATGTTGTCAATCCTGATGTAAAGCGTTTTCCTCGGTTCCAGAAAGCTCGAAGACATGTGGTTACACTGAGCCCAGGACAGGTAATGCGGAAGCTGGGACTTGTCTCATGGCCTTAGGACACGTGCCTCTCCCTTTCCTCACCTTCCTCTAGTACAGTGGTCGGCAAACTCATTAGTCAACAGAGCCAAATATCAACAGTACTTCTTCAAAATACAGTTGCCCAGGCCGAAAACCAACTTCTGCACATGGGCCACAAAGTTTCAATCGCACTGTACGTGAGACTGCACGTGGTATTTTGTCCAAGAGCCACACTCAAGGGGCCAAAAAGCCACATGTGGCTCGCGAGCCACAGTTTGCCAACCACAGCCCTAGTACAAATAGTAGGTTTTCTCTGCTATTGGAAGGTAGCTTTTCCAGCTGTAGGCTTCACATAGATACTTCTTTGCTTCTCAGGTAATGGAAAGATGGGAGGAGGGATCACAACTCCTCCTACTGGTAAAGAAGAGAATGGACTGTGGAGGAAGACAGCTCACTAAGTTGTTTTTTGTTTTTGTTTTGTTTTTGCTTTTTTCATGTTAAGAGCAAGTGTCAAGGCATGGGTATCCGAGCACTTCTGGAACATTTATTCACAGTTCATATCTGTTCAGCCGTGCTAGAACCCAGACACATATCGTTGCAGTGCATCTAGGGCAGAGGCATTACAGAGCCAGAATGATGTGCTTTTAAACAAGAATGGATTGAATGGATGTTGCTTTTGTAACTGTCTCTGAAACATTAACAAAAGTATTGTACTTAGTGCTGCTACCCAGTAGGGAAAACCACCTTTACAACACTGGCATTTGCTGTCTGATGTTTTATTAACAACTTGAAAGGTATTCTTAGTCTCTTACAGAGAGTTTACTCCCTCCCTTATCCCCCTCTCCTGCCTGTTTCCTTCCGTTGCTCGCTTTCCCCTGGCTCCCTTCCTGCTTCCTTCATACTTGAGAACTCCAACTCAAAAAGTCTGACTAAGTGGCTTCCATCCATTGGTGGTTACTCCCCTTCACCTTCCCCCACAGCCCCTGGCAACCACTTACCTATTTTCTTTCCACTTCATTCCTTTTTATGGCTGAATATATTCCACTGTATGGAGATCTATTTTGTTTATCCATTAATCAGTTGATGGACATTTGGGTTGGTTCCACTTTTGGACAATGATAAGTAATGTTGCTATGCACATTTGTGTACAAGTTTTTGTACATGCATATGTTTTCAGTTCTCTTGGGTACGTATATAGGAGTGAAATTCCTGGGTCATATTAGTAACTCTGGGGGAACTGCCAAACTTTTTTCCACACCATCTACTTCATTATATCTTCCCACCAGCAACATCTGACGGTTCCAATATCTCTACATCCTTTACTGTTAATATTATTTCCCTTTACTGTTAATATTATTGTTGTTATAAAAATTCTAGTGGGTGTAAAGTGGTTGTAATTCATTTTTTCTTTGATTTTAATAGCCAAATTTGAATGAATGTTTTTGTCCATCATATCAGTTTTCCTTACATCCTGCTTATTCCTTAATCCACTACAAACTGTCTCTCGTTCTTCCTACTTTACTAAAAATATACTCTGTGATG